TTATTTAATCTTTAAGTTCTTGGTTCGTGGCAGCATTTCATTGTAATATACAGTAAATCTTTGATGAGTATTCGAACGTTAAGCAATTCCAAAATCATTGGGACCTCCTCTTGTCAGTTCCGCGGAGCCTTCGAGCACTCATCGAGGATTTACTGTAAGTGGTACTACAAAGTACCGTCAGGACATAAACGGCAAAATCTTGACTTGACTTCGATCCACAGAACTCGTAACCGAAGTCTCGATCCCTGTAGTAACTCAATCACGCGGTATAGGGCACCGAGAACGTTCCTCCAGACACAGGACGCCGGTTCTAACCCCCTTGTTCAATATTTAAAAGCCCGCTCGAACGGAGAGGCTGCGCAAGTTCGCCCCTCGGGACTGTCAATAAACGTTGCGAGACTGGAACGGACGAAAACGTACACAGGACGACGCTTCTCGGCGCCTTGCGTCAAAATTAAATGGGACAGAGTATACGCGACCGGATATTCTGCATCAATCGATCGTTCGCATCGATTGGCAAATAAAAACGCGCAGTAATCCCGTAGGCATCCTTCCGTAGATTTACGAGTAACCAATCAGGAGGAGGCACTGGATTGGGAAGAGGAACGCAGCGCGTGAAGGAAAGGATTTAGGCTATACAGTAAATCCTCGATGAGTGTTTAAAGGCTTTTCTGTACTGTCAAGAAGTCCCCAGGTGTAACGGTGACTTTTTAATGAGGTTAAGCACAGTGATAGAGCTTAGAATTCTAAAGCCAATTATATTTATTTCAGTTGCATACAGCCATTAGTTTATGAAATATTCAATGTTGAGTGCTGAGGAATTTTGTTACTTGCAAATTGCTTTAGCAATAGCTCTCTTAGATCAATAGCACAAAAAAGATACGAAGGTAGTTACACATTTTTCGTTGTATTAATATAAAATGAAGTTAAACAATGTTTAACAGAGCGTTCTTATGTATAAAACATTCGGCACTGCATCAGTTATGGTTGTAGGATTCCACATACACTTCAATAACATAATTTCGATTTATATCTGAACCACCCCCTACCCCCATATTTAACAAACAAAATGTCACCAATAGATCAAAATCATTTACGCGAAGACAATGCAAAAACATAGAAATTTTATTTTGATGGATCTAGAGAAGGTTTTAGTTAATCCGATGAATTTTCCATCTATGAATTGCATAGATAAATTAACCATATAATTACTAGGAAACTTATTGCGACATTGTTCAAACATCAAGATTGTAATAACATAATTAGTTATGCAATTCGTGGACATAGAAATTTAATTATTTATTGATTTATGAATCGTAGTCTAAGAAGTTCTCGAAACTAACAACTATATATATTAATTTCTAAACAAAGAAAAACGGGACATTCCGTGCAAAACATCGAGAAAAAGCATTGTTTTCCGTGGTTCCTAAGCACCCCCTTCTCCAGCTTCAGCCAATGATCGTCTGGTCTTCATCGACGAACGAGTCGATCGTTGTTCCCAGCAGTTTCCACGATTGTCATTCAACCAGGACGATGGTGCACGGAAACGAAAGATGCTCGGTGCAACCTGACAAAAGATCCCCATGCGAGCGCCTTCTGCTCAGTTCAGAAGAAGAGACTAGACGCGGAATGACGAGGATAGACGAAAGACGTAAGAGAGACTGTGAACAGAGAGGCTGACCTTCCATTGATTAGATCACTCAGGAAATTCTACGCGATATCCGGCACTCGGCTACCGTAACCTCCGCCAGACTGACGTCAAGAACTTTAGCTGGCTTTACCCGGTGGCTCGATGTTCCGTAACGTCGGTGAATGTACTTCGTTGGTTTATTTAAGACGGTGATTTTCGAGAATTTATCGGGTCATTGTATGTGTAACGTCGATCTTGGGTTTGATTTTATGTTAACAGAAACGTACATATATTTTAAATGTGTTTGTGATCTAGTTGGAAAGTGTGTAATTATTTACTGAAGGAAGCATTAAAATAGGATTTTTTTGTATTTTCCAAATGAAAAAGGGTAAACGTTACGTTTAGAGGATGCAGCTCTGATGACAATAACTTTGACGTATGGTGTTACGAACACTCTTCCAGGTAACCCTCAAGAAGTTTTAGCCGTCGATCGTTTTTTATTAAGAAGTTATTAGGAAAAAAATTTACGACATGTTCCAATTATTCCAACTAGTTACTCTAGCCAACTCAGATTTCTATTCTTACTTTCTCTACAATTTTTTTTGCACTATTCAATTGATTTCATTGAATCAGTTACACACAATTTCAATTGTATTGTCTAAGAAAAAGAACTTCAACCTGCCTCTACGTGGATTTTGTTTTCGAAGTTTTGACTCGATATAAAATACTCTAGCAATCCAGAGGATTAATCGATAGGGCAATCAAATAAATTGATAGGGCAAAGTTTAATTAATTGGGTAGATACTGTAAAATCTTTCAGTCGGGGGTAGTGTAATTTTTTTTACAAAAAAAAATTGTATAGAATATATCTCTTGTATTACCAGAGTCATTCAAATTCCATGGAAGATACAAATCAAAGAGAAACGGAGGTGCATTATCGATCATTAATACTTCTCACGATAATAGAATTTTCATCTCCAGTTATACTTGAGGTAGCGGAACAAAACCCGTCGTGAATCGTCCATAATTATTCGAACGACGCCGCTCTTGTAATCCAACGGAATCCACTGGCCCGGTGAATGGAATTCGCAAAACGCTGACGCGTGTCGTACCACAAAATCACACGTGCAGCACATACCACAAATTGCCACCGTACAAGCCCCGTGAATCTGACGAAATGTTCTCTAAATCTCTGAATATACAGAGTGGCGTGTTAATAACCTATATAGGGTAGGCCGAGGCGAATCGGATAATTTACGTTATATAGTAAAGAAATACTTATCAAAGCTTAGAAAGCTAATTGTGTATTATAAATTCGTAATTACTCCACATTTAACTTGAACATTAATAATAAACAAAATTAAAATAACCTTTCCATTTACTTTAATTGTACAATAAAGTATTCTCAAAATTTCAAAGAAATTGGTTTAATAATTTCTTCACCAGAAATTCATTCATTGTTAACCCATTTACACCAGGCTCCCCCCTTAAGTGTTAAACAAATTACGTTTCTGAGAAGACTACAATTAACATTCTCCAACGACCGTAAACGCCTCCAGGGTTCATTTTCCGGAATTTTATTCCCCATTCGTACCGATAATAAAGATTCATCCCCTTGCTCTGCAATTCCCATTCCCCCCACCCCCTCCCCTCACACTTCGATACATCTCCTCGCTCCTGTATTTTAGCTTCCTGTGCACGCACACCATGTAATATATATTATGTATTATACATATATTACCATGAAATCCGCCGCTGGCAGGGGCTGCGGTTGACAAGGACATGGGAATGACGGGGGCAGCAGCATCGATTGTGATCATTAATGCTTAATCACGGATAGTGCCCCGTAATCGTGTTACCTTTGTCCTGTACGAATATTAGATACTATCCCGGTCGATCACTCACCGTCAAAGTCGCCGTGGCTCGAAAGGCTCGACTTACGCTACGCTATTCAAAGCGGCGAGGAACCCCATACCCCCTCTCGTATGTTACGTGCCACGTATTTTACCTGGGATTAATCCGCTCCCACGATGGACGAGGGAGAAATAATGATACAAAGATTCTTTGTTTCCGAGGAGGGGGTGGGAGGGCAGCTCGCCAGTAACGTAATCAAAGGGCTGAAACTTCGTTAGGAATGGTAATTGATCGGTGCAACAAGTTCAGAGTATCACCTGTAACCTGACTAAGGTGCTTAATGAGATCAGCTTGCCACGGTGTATACGTGAATATTGCTGGAAATGTTTCGAGGTTGCGTACCTCGGTGAAAGGGTGCTTTAGGTTATAGATGTACTTCCTTTTCTTAAATTTTGCGGGATGTATGTTTGGATTTTTAAAAGAAACGTGCGGAAAATGGGAAGCGGTTAACACTAGAATTGGAGAAGATGAACTTGTTTCTCGGTCTATTGCATTGGTGCAAGAGAAAGGTTGCTGAAAATTTGGAAATTGGGAAATTAACAAACTTCTTCACTTATATTGTATTGCCATAAAAGTTACGAAGAATGGCAGGAAATACAGTGTTGTGAGAATTTAATAAGTTTTTATATTAGTTTACGGACCAGTCGTTTTGAGTGCTTAGGTTGTACTTCTGTTAAATAGTAACGCCACGATGATAGGCCAAAAATGATAGGGTCACTTTGAACACGTGATTTTAAAGAAATTTATGAACTTTTGTTAAAAATGTAACATAAGGACCTTGTGATGTGTATAAAACAAGAACAAAAATTAGTTTAGAATTTCGAACAAAAGTTTGAATAATTTGAACAATGATTTTTGCAAAATATTGACAACTCTTTTTATAAGAAATTTTGTAACTGTAGACTTTTGTATGGAACGAATGGATCGGAGAGGAGCGGTATGCTTCTAAACTCTAGAAACCTTGGCAACTCCTCCACAACCACTCAGGACCCTTAAAAACAATTAGAATTAGTCAAGAATTTTCTTTGATAACACTGTGCCGAACTGGACGAGCAGCAGTCAGTATTGAACAGTTGAAATAGCAACACCATCCCATAAAACGCGTATCTTATATCAGTATCTGTACATATATTTAATAAAAATATTTTCTACATTTTTACACGACCACCTCCTACATACCTCAAAAAAGAAATTGTCTTCAAATATTCGCCATTTCTTAAACAATGAATATTTTCTTGAAATCTTGAATGGGTACTTTTCTAATATATGTAAGTGTGAAGATGATAAACCTTTTGGGCCCATTAAGTTCGAATACTTTTCTTGTTCACTCTCGCATATAGAAATCGACGTTTTATCATACATTCGATTGTACCATTAAAAATTAAATTAATTCGTGTTGGGAAACCTTGTTGACTCGATCACGGAATGTTAGTTAACAAAGATGTTTGTTTTCCAGTTGCTCCGGTCTGTCATCATGGTCAACTGAAAGTCTTCGGTGTGGCCCGACAGGAAACCACAAGGATACCGTGCGAGCTCGAGGCAAATCCATCGGAAGTATCGTTTACATGGAAGTTTAACAACACCATGGAGGCGGTAGACATACCACAGGCGCACGTTACCAGCGAACGTACGCGTTCGACTGCGTCTTACACACCGATGACGGAATTGGACTACGGGACCCTGCTCTGTTGGGGCACCAACGATCAGGGCACGCAATCGGAACCCTGTGTTTACCACATTGTGCCGGCTGGTGAGCAAAAATTAAATACTAATCAACTCTGAAAGGTTTGAGTTAGTCCTCTAATAGGAATATCCAATAATTAAAATTTTTTCTGCGTACATCGTCTATCTAGGTTTCTATTCTGTCCTATATCTGGACACCAGAGCCTAGGTGTATTAAGTGACACTTTTCAAATTTTTGAACTGAAAACAATCTATCTCACACCAGTGAAACTACGGATCCTTGTTGACAAAATTTAGATATTAATTGGCAACAGAATTTAACGCACCTTTAAAATAAGTTTTGCATCGATGCAACACTGAGCGTTAAAGAGTTAAATCGTCCACCGAGATAGCTCGCTAAAATCTTCGACATTCATTCGACAACTCGACAATTCATTTTAGAGGAAACCTGCTTCTCTCTTTCGCCGCGATCCTCGGCTCGGTTCCACCGTTCAGGCGATTTAACCCAATAAAAATGTCTGTCGGCCCCCAGCTAATATCACCGCGTTGAAATTTTGTACGCGGTAGATCCGGCGGAAGACGAACCGCCGAGTGCTTTACGGGGGAAAAACTTCGTTTTTAATTATGCAACCGGCCGCGCAACGGAGAGGAAATTAAGATTTTAGTAAATATAAATCGTCGGGATTTACGGCGGGAAGACGAGACCGTACCGTAGCAATCCGCGTGGAGAAGTGTCTCTCGAGAGGGGGGTGGCAGGCTTGATAGACGTAAATTAGATTTAAAAAGTTTCCTCATTATGCAGATTAGAAACAACGACGTCCGTTGCCCGGGCAGCTGGACGCGTCGCGTCGTCGGTGTTCTTTCGCCGGTCTGTCTCGCTTCTCTCTGACCTTTTAACGAGACGCCTGCCCCGAGTTCGTTTGATTCGTTTCTGCAAAAACTATCCTAGACTTTACGGAACCGCTAACGGTGTCAATAATCGCTGTTGGTAATTCGTAATACAATAATTGAGATCATTGATGAGAACATGGCACATACGCCCAAAACGCTATTTCGAGAAAATGGACTTTAGAGTTTTCATTAGAGTATTACTTAAGTAATGCAATTGAAATCAATTTTCTTTTAAAGTATGGTTAACTTGTCCCTCAAACGTTTTGAAAACAGAGGTTATGCTTTGAAAATAATGTTTTAAAACCTAACCAAGACTCTTAAATCGTTATTTCAATATTATGAGACTGATGTAAATGTTGTATCGATAACTATTGAAATGTTTTTATCAGATATAGCATGGTTTCAAGAGAGCTTTAAGGTGATTATAGTAAATTTTTTGAGTGTAGTATTTATTTTTGGAGGGAACACTTGACTTTCTCAAACGAAATCGGGGAGATCTACTTAACATTAATGAAACTACAGGATCTTTATTGAAAAAAGTTAGGCTTAACCAACGACAGAATTTAACGCACTTTTAAAATGAGTGTTGCATCGATGCAACACTGGGCGTTAAATAGTTAGCCTATCGTTACATTAAAACCCGTATGATCACTTAATCATAAATGTCATCCGTGGATACATTTTTCCCGCCACTGTAGATTTAAATCGAAAAACCGAAATTTCTTCGCGACCCAACCAAACATCAAAATACTCGACGAAACAGTAATCCTAACGCGAGGAATACTCGTCGAACGTTGCAACGCTCCGAAGCTTTGTTACGTCCTTCGTCCACTATCCACAAAAAGGTACAATCTTAAAAACCCTCTAAAAACACCAACGGCTCGTATTATACGAAGGACACCGCGGGAGGCAACAGAGAGCTGAAAAGAGAGGAAGCAGCTCGTATAGAGGCGCGTCAATACGCGACAAATGCGGTTTACTGTCGGGCAACGGTTCTAAAACCTCCGAAACGGCGCAATAAAAACCGCTATTAAGGTGAACGTTGCATAAAACCCCCACTCTTGGGTGCGACGTTTCGATTTGAGTGCGCTTGCCTGACCCAAACCAAGCTGCGAGGGGGGCGAGAGGGGCCTGAATGGGAACGAAAACCTGACCGAGCTCGTACCCGGTTGATTAAGGACGACGAAACGCCATCGTTCGCGTAGGATGCATCGGCACTTGGCCACGTACGTGCCTGACGGCTGTCGCCCGGCCCGTCTTTGTATTCCGTTCCCATCGTAAGCAAAACCGTTCCGTCGACGGTCGTTTCAGCAGGCTTCGGCAGCTCGCCTCCATTCCCGTACGCCTTCGACGCAATCACGGCTAACCTATCTCTAAAAGCATCCTCCGGGTGGATACGCGAAACGACGCACGACTCGGTTTCGTTTACTCCCTACGGCGGGAAAGATCTTTACGGGGGACGGGGGACTTTAACTGCTGATTGTTAAGCTTTCTAACTGCTCCATTCGATAGGACGAGAGAAACAAAATGATCTGGTGACCGAATGGCGACCGATGGTGATGATACTGTTTGGGCTAGGTCGTTGGGGATCGAGGACAACAGATGTTGAACGTTAAAATTGAGGGTTTGCGAGATGAAACAAGGGAAATTCCATTTTTAATTGTTCTGTAGTGTAGTTGATAGTTTCTGCATTGAAGTTAAGACGGCAATTTTTGGTCTGATGTTCGCGTTTTTTGGCAGCGATAATTGATAGGAGTTGCTTTCTAAAGTGGAGATGGTACAAGTACAGGTCTAAGTATTGGCTAGTTGAAAGTTTAGGGTCGTGTTTACGGTATTCACTCTAGCTGGAACAGTGAGAAACTACGACTCAAGGTCAAAAATATTTCAACTACATATCATAGGTTTTTCATTTAGGTACATTTAAGATCTTAAAAATCTTCAACAGCTTCAATAAGTCCTGAAGTTATTCGTAATAATTGTACCAACACCGGAAATAATTCTGGTAATTGATCTTCAAGATGGCGGTGAGAGTATTACCAATATCATATCATAATTAAAACACTTTTTGAATTAATAATGAAGCTCTATATGATAGATTTGAAAACATAGATATACATATTCACTGTCCGAAATGTTAGATGCACAGATTAATTTGTGGCCCCAGAATTAATTATTGATTCACCAATTTGCCCGAGATATGGCATAAATGTGTAGAAAGTAATGGGGAATATATTCAAGGTTAAATAATAATAAACACATGTACGAAAAGAAGGCCACGAATTAATTTGTACACCCAATACATAGGTATATGTATGTAAATTTACACGCATACGTATGTACCCCTAGTACCCGTTGATTTTTATGCTGATGACGGATATATCCGACACTGGTATACGAATATCTTATTAGTAATGACGGATATATCCGTCATAATATCATCCCTAAGTATATGTATGTAATTTGTATGTGTGTACCTAAACTAGTACCTGTGGATCTTTTTGCTGATGACGGCTATATCTATCATTGGTATCTCTGGATCTGTTCGTGGCTGACGAATATATCCAACCGTGGATGCGAAAACGTTAAACCGACTCGAATAGTGTAGCTCAAGACTCAACGATACAACACTAAACGTCTTGGGATTAATCGCGTCTCCCAAAGCAAGCAGCTCTCCCATCCGAGAATCTCGATCACCATCCCTCCAACCGAGGCTGACTAATTATTTACTTTTTCAGGTCACCCGGACACTCCGCACAATTGCTCTCTTCTGAACCAAACGACGGACTCGGTGTACGTGGAGTGCACGGAAGGGTTCGACGGCGGTCTGCCGCAGAAATTCACGATACAGGTGGACAGGGAGGCCGGGACCAGCGGTGCGCCATCAAAACCGAACACCACCGTCTACAACCAGACCAGCAAAGTTCCGTCGTTCTCGTTGGACGGCCTTGAGCCCGGGACCAGCTACGACGTCTACGTTTACGCGAGCAACAGCAAAGGTCGTAGCGAGAGGGTCCACTTTCGTGCGACCACCCTGAATCTGCCCGAAAGACGAACAGGTGAGTTGTTCCCCCATCCTCCTCCTCCTTTGAGCGAACGTACGCCCGAAGGACCCAGGAGGGTTGTATACGCGCCTCTTGTGTCTCGCTCGGATCGATCTGGACACGATGCCTGGACTTGCTCGTCGACGCGTAACTCGACGATGCACTCTCTTGCGATTTTCCTTTGAGCACTGTCTGCTACGCTGCACGGCCTTGCATCGTAGAGCTCACGTGATTATCTATTATATTTCATCTTAGTAACTGCTCCCTGATCCTCGTGTCTTTCCATCTGTGGATCCCGTACTTCCATACGTTTCGACGTCCTCCTGGTTGGTCCTCCTTTCGCGTGTGCGCAATACACCTAATCCTCCTTGGACAGGACCATGTCCCTAAGACCTTTGTTTGCAAACCGCGGTGGACGATAAACGCTGTGATACGCGTGTCGATCGGTCTTCTATTGGACGGATTCTTGCGCTCGGAAAGTTGGTCGAAGTGTTCTATGAAGAGCGAATAAAGGTGGAGCGATGGCTCTTCGAAATTAATGATTACACTGCTGGGAAGAATTAGGGGATCGGTAATATTGCGCCACTACTAAACGAAAGGAAAAGAGCAAGAGCTGTAGGTTTGTTAAATTGAAATCTTTTCCGTCCAGTGCTGTCACTATTAACACCTAGTTATGTGAATAACTTTTCGGTGATTCTATAACAAAGAGATTGCGGTGCATGATCCTCTAATTGTTTTGAGCAGTATATTTTGTAATGACACTTTGAGTTTGCTTCCCAATCGATAACCGCCACTTGTGGACAATAGTATATGTTGTTTTAGTAGATAAAAATAGAATTTTTGGTATACATTCGATACGTGTTCGTCTACTATTGACGGTAGTTTGTGTTTGTTTGGAATTCGTTGTCTCTACGAATTTGTTGAAGATGTAAGATTTACTCGTACCTTAAAATCATTCTTTAGATCTGAAACTGACTAGTCCTGGATTCCAGACCTCGGAATCCAGTGACAGTGGTAAACGTATGGAAGCTAACATTCTGTAACCCAAGTAATCCAGAATTCACCGAATCCAAAATTCCAGATCCCAGAATTCAATGACAGTAAAGGGAAATTCAATGATCTGACTAATCATTTGGAACGTAAGCAATCCAAAGTTCTAGAACCCAGAATGGAACAACAATAATGGAAAATTGGTATTTCATATTGTGCAATCCAATTAATCATCTATAACCTAAGTAATCCTAGATTCCAGATCCCAGGATCCAACAACAGAGTTGAGAATGAGAAGTTACTACCTGATACTCTATGGCCTAATCGTCTGGATCCTAAGTAATATTCTAGAACCCAGAATGGAACAATAGTAATAGAAAACTAGTATTTGATATTCTGCAGTTAGTCATCTAGAACCTAAAAAATCCTAGATTCCAAAATTGAACGATACTTGAAAATCTCAGAATTTATACCCAGAAGAAGATGCAGTTTGAAGTCAAAAGTTCCAGGATCAGAAACCGATAATTCCTTCAGTGACACAGGCGTCATGTTGCAGCGTTTACTCGTGTTCCTATCCTAGACCTGCGATTAGGCGCTTGACACAGGTCGACTTGGTCCCACCCGTCACCGATCCCCAGGTGGCTCGATGAACTTTCGGTCCCTGTCGAACTCGATTACCGTCTTTCGTGCTCCGTGACCCGTGTTCCATCGCTAGCTTTAAGTGCATCGTTGCATCCGAAACGAAAAAATTTAAATACACAAGGCATTAGACAACATAGTAAAATCCTATTTGTCACATGCCAAAGGACAACCGAGTAACTCAAATTTGTAAAGTAGGCTAAAAGGTATGTAGATGTCTGCTCTATTTCTTTGTACAGTGACTGCATTTTGCATATCGTTGTATCAACTTCGTTATTTTATGATGCAGAAGTTTCCTTGAATGACTTCAGTTGCTTAGCTATCGCTGATTTCGATTATTCGTCATCTGGCTTGTAGTCCTTGATTAGGCGACAAATGGTTTCCGCTTGCTTTTTCATTTCCAGAAATTTTCGTCTCACGGTACTTTAAAAATGAGGAGACATTTAATGGATAGGTAATTAAATCTAATACGTTATAAACGACGAAAAATCGAGAGTAGACATGACGACATTCATCCTTGCAGATGACGAAGAATTGAAAACAGAGACTGCTACTTAGCTCGTACGTCACTGTTAGAAGTTTCTTCATCAAAATATAAGAACGTCAACGGCGACTATACAGAAGGATATAGTAGCTCTGTAGGTACATGTAGCCAGTGATGGATTAATTTCTTCTTTCACCATTTCTTCAATAATCAACGATCAAATCTTGCTCTTCGAGCATGAATCCTGAATAAATATGCCACGCACGGTCCGCAACGTAGATCTTGAAGTTCGAAATTAATATCACAGAAAATTGCTCCTTTCATATTCGAAAATGACGACAGATCAATATGGAGACCAAAATTCTTTATTTCTAGGGGTAGCACGATTTGCATTGATATCGGAGCGAAGGAGAAATTGATCGCTACAATTGGTGATGTGATTTATTACGGTAATTAATCGACAGTGATGGATTTAATTAATGGGGGCCGATTACGGTAATTAATTTCATGGCGTTCGTCCATGGATTTAATCAGGCTGGACCTATTTTGATCGAAACCTTTGGAAGCTAGCTAACACTCCCGGTGATCAACGCTCTTCAATGAGGCCGGGGTTAGTCGGGATCGAGGCGATTAGGTCGAAGGACAGATTCGAGGTTCATGGACATATAAATTCAAAGCTGGATAACAGTTTGATTCAGGCTGGATCGACAGATAGAGTCTGACTGGATCGAAGGATAGATTCCAGATAGATCTACAGACAGATTGCAGGTAGATCTATGGATAAATTACAGGTAGATCCAGGGATATAGATTACAGGTAGATCCACGGATATAGATTACAGGTAGATTGACGGATAGATTACAGGTAGGTCGATGTATAAATTACGGGTAGAACTATGGATAGATTACAGGTAGTTCGATGTATAAATTACGAACATAACTACAGATAGATTCTACGTAGATATACGAATAGATTTCAGATAGATCGACGGATAGATTTTAGATAGATCGACGGATAGATTTCAAATAGATTATATGTACATCGACGAATACATTACAGGTAGATCGAAGTACACTCAGATTTTAGAATCGTTCACCCTCGAATTAACGAAGTTTCGCAGCGCTAACAAGGGAATCTCACGACAGCTATGGGCGTCATCAGTTTTGATGAAATTACAGGCCCGACACGTCGAAAAAGGAAAAGATCTTATATACGCACGGTATATCTTCCGTCGACGGTGATTGAAGATTTAGGGAGCGGTAGGTATTACCCTTAATAAATCTTGGCCAAATGACTGGCGCCTTTCAGCCCGTGGAAAATTGGATCGTCGCGGGGCGGGTCGTATTATTTGAAACTTCTTAGAAAATCGCATTCGAGCACCACCATTGGGAAAAGGACATTAAGAACCGATCCCAACGATTTTCCCCGTGAATTCGATCCAGACTCCTCGTTCGGATTAGTCGTTGCAAAATGGTGGAATCAAATCCTAGTCTTTTATATCCGCCTCTTTATTAGTTCGAGCGACTTTAACGAAAAAAAGATTACATTCTGGAGGGAACATCTTGCAAATTGTACCTTCAGTTGAATCGAACTAAGAGAATATTCTTTAAGTAAATACACAGATGCATTTACAAAATTTTCTTTGTACCAATTTCTTGCCAACTCTGAACAGAGGTAGTATTTGCAAATCACTTCAGAAAGGTCGAAGTAGAATATGTTCCATTGTAATTGGTCCATAAATTAACCCTCTGCAATCGACTGTCCCCTCTAAAGGTATGGAAAATTAGAAATTCCAAGTGGAAAGGGTTAATTTTTACGGATATCTCTAAAAATTTACATACAGTTACTGTATTATTATTACGTAGAAACAGCAATAATGACCATTTTTGCGTCGAAAATTTGTATTAACATTGAACAATTGTTGCAAACTCTGTTACTCTAAATTACTATCCATAATTTCCATAAGTCTTTCTCACTTTTCTGACAAAAATTAAATTTTCGGTCTACACGATATCAGTCAATCTGCAATATCAAATTATAACGACGACCATTCTCTTTCCAAACGCCTAATAAAACGTTAGACAAACACAATACAAGAATATACCAAAAAATAACGTTTTCTTACCAGAACTTAGTGTACAGGCCTATGTCAAGGTATTAGTGTTTCATAATTCCAAGTAAAGTCCTCAACTACTACAAATTGTGTCACCAGAACTTAATTTACGGGTCTATGTGGAGACATTATCTCTTCATACTTTCAGTAAATTTCTCAACTACTATTAATTGTGTCACCAGAATTTAATTTACGGGCCTATATCAAGACATTATTTCTTCATAATTCCAGTAAATTTCTCAACTACTACTAATTCAGTCACAAGAACTTAATTTACAGGCCTATGTCGAGACATTATTTCTGCATAATTTCAGTAAATTCCTCGAATACTACTATTTGTGTCAGCAAAACTTCACGTACGGATCAATGTACGTCGTGACATTATTTCTTCATAATTCCACTAAATTCCTCGACGTTTATCTTGAATCCTACTTTAGGCGCGCTCGACGGGTGCCCTCTACCCAGCACATTTTCGACCGTTTAAGTAATTGAAAATTAAATAGCCGGGGAACGTGCGCGAAGACGGAACGAATTTTCGTCGGACGGAAACAAATGGTAGCGAAGGCGTATATAGGGGTTGCTGGTAGCGCGCAGAGCCTTCGTTTTTTATCGCGAGTGATGTGGGATTCGCGGAGCCGCTTCCGGAGAACGAGGAGCTCCCCTTCAGGGGCTGCCAAAATAATTCTGTCCCGGAGGCTCTGCCAGATTCCGAGCTCATTCTTCCTGCTAATTGCCAACAATTAACTCTGGAACGCGGGGTCAGCTGTCCCGTAAACGGCCTGTGTACAGTACGCGTTAATAATGCGTGGCTAATTGGGGATGCGAGAGGGAAGAGGGTGGATGGCGAACTGGGGGTGGTTGGTGGGCGTTGGGACAGGCTCGGTTTGGCCGCGTTCTCGTCGTCGTTGACTCTGCCTATTTTGCCCGTCGCGACTAACTGGGGAATCGGTGTACTTCATCCGACTCTGTTGGCTCGCGCTCTAATTGTCCGGCTGTCTTTTATTACCAGCCACCGGGTGAGCTAGTTCGGTTGCAAGTAGTGATGGGTAACCAAGACGGATTCAAGCCGATTCAAGCCAGATCGCAAGTCGCAATACGAATTGTATATTATTTAATAATGTTAATAATAATGTGAGTTAATTATTTGGCACGTGTTTGCGTTTACTTCTGGCTGGGTAATTGTAGAAAGGGTCGTTTTGCACTTTTGGGAGCACTCTCGCTTCGGAGAAAGCTATGTGTTACTTTGACAGGATTCAGGGTTACTCGTGGAGGGTGTGTTGGACCTAAAAGTACCATTTTTAATTCGATCACTGGATGTGATCACTAGATTGCGGATTTTATGCATTTATAGGGTTCTATGAAATATAATAAAAGACAAAACTTTCATCGGATCCAATAATTTTTCTATTTTAGTCTGAACCTAATAAGATATTTAGAGCAAAAATAAATTTCTACATTTGCTGCTCTCTTTATAAATTACTTTAGAAAATACTATTTTGCATAACATCTGCCAAATTAATGAGACTTTACTGCTGATGAATTAATTAAATCGAGGGACAGGTGTATTAGATCTATCTGAAAGTCAACTTTTGTTAAATACACGTTGTAAATGTCAAAAACTCAGGAAAGCATATTTACATTATGTTTTTTCTGGCATTACAAGTAGTATAACATGCAGACAAAATTTTACTGAATAAATACCGAACAGCTTAAAGACATTTGTTATTCATAAAAAATTTACTCATTCGAATTTTTCAACATTCAAAACAAAGCTGGATTTTTTTATGAATTTTAGAAAACCACGGAAGGTTAGAATTACGTTTATCTTTCGTGTCCTCTGTTGGTTATTCTACACTGTGCGGTCTTTCGATAATCTCGATCGCCAACCAGACGTTTAAATGGTCCACTTCCAGCCAGTTTATATTTCGTTGGTTGGAAAGAAAATAGGATTAAATGTCGTTTAAATGACGTGCAAACGCTCGACAAAGGTAACGCGAGATTGTAAACGCGATAATTCTGTTTGTTTTCGGGATACTGAATAGGGGATGGGAATCCTGCGCGCAGTGGAATGTGTCAATAAATGGGCTGGCAGAGTATCAAGTAGTACGAATCAATGATATTTACCCTCTGGTCGATAAAACGCGCAAACGTATATTTTTTGTCGGGCAAATAACTCCCGATTTCCGTATCGTCTGGTAATAATACTGCGTGCTATCAACTTCCACGTTGTAGTAATTCACAAAATATTTTTGTTGCTGAAAAATTTCGAATAAAGACAGGAAGAGAAATTAAATTTCTCGGAATAAATTCATTCTGTCCCCTTAGTGAGGTCTTTGTAATTCAAGCACCATTTGATAGAAATACTTCTAAACCAACTTTCAGCCGAGTGGGCGATATCGTTGATCAACATCACTTAGTCCTCTCCCAAACAATTATTAAAAAAAAAAAAACGAGTCAATAGAAAAAGCTAACTACTTTATAACATTCTAATAGATTATACAGCATAAAACTCCAGTCCCCGTTCAAAAAGTGAGACTTCATAAACGGGAATTCATCCCAGTCGCCGATACCGTTGACCAGCATCACTTGATCCTCACGTCCGCCCAGTTTATTGACTCGCACCCCTGCCCCTGTCCGAGACGAACTTTCACGGTGTGCAAAAGGATAGGGGAGGAGAAAAAAAAGGCCTGTTCGGCGGCCCGTTCGCGCGTATGACGCTTCTTCTATCGGGCTCGCGAATATTTTCGCTCGATAAAAGCGCCCGTTCGCCGAACTTCCGGGCACGGACTTAGTTTTTCGGGGACAGGCGAGAGTCCAGATACGCTTGTTATGCGATGTATAAACGACGACGAGATCGAGCGGCCCCCCGAAATCGGGCAGGCGACGGGTGTCTCTACCGTATCGGGCACCAGCCGTGTCCAACGAATGGCAGATATCGATTGCTCTTTGACATTTATATTAAAACATGTTCGAGCGACTCACCCCCGGCCGAATGAGAAACGAGGTACTGGCAGGTCTCGGCTGAAATCCATTGCGACCCGCTCGCAAACAGGTTTACTCGGGGACCAAAAAAAAAATATAAAAAAAAAAGGAGTTGGAATTTACGACACGTGGAGTCGATTTTGATTTCTGGGTACGCTCTTATCCATTCTTCGATCTTCCATAGTTTAATTCGAAACAATTTTTTAAAGAAATTCTTTATTTGTTAATGGTCGTTAGGGGTTTCAAAAAATAGAAATGAAAAGTTTTTGTTAGTACAGTTTAAATGCACTGTAATATTTGAGAGAATGTATCTACAGTGGTTGACAAAAAAGTTACCAAATTTCGATTTGGTTATTTTTATTAGTTTGTAATATCAACGTAAAACTTTAGTATGTGTTTGATAAATATATTCTAATAGATAGTTAAAAGCTGTATAAAACCCAGTATATTAAGGTTTTACGTTGATGTTAAGAAATAATAGAAATACAAAGAATCAGAGAAGTGGTAACTTTTTGGCTACTACTGTACTCGAACAAGAAATATTGTATAGGCTTATACTGGGTGATTCTAAGAGAATGTACGGAAAATTTTCTGACGTGTTTGAAACTTTACAATTGGCAGGAATGATGTAAACAAAATGTCAGCTGTAAAATCATCTATTTTTGAGATGTAAGTAATGATAATTTGCATTACTAGTTTATTGTGAATATTCAATATGGCTACCGTTGAACCTCACGCTATTGAATACTTCTGGTCGACTTCTAGTTGTTTCGCTGGAACAGATTTGACAACCCTTCAAAATTTTAAAAGTGTGTAAAATATAATTATACATTTTAAACAATTTCAGGTTCTATTCATCACATTCAGTATAATTATCGAAACCAAAACTTCTGAGTAGTAAATTGTTTCAGAACACATATTTATTGCAACATTTTTATCAATTTAACCATATGAAATGTCACTGTAAATATTGTGACACCATTTTGAAATCACTCCGTATAAAACTTTACTTGTTTAGTGTATATATAATATTTCTAGCCTGAAGTTATTACCGTGTACTCACGAGTCACCTGTTTGTCTTTAATCCTTTCAGTAGTAAACTACGTCACACAAGGTGTTGCATTTTTAATGTGATTACTGAACTTTAGAATTAATTTATAGAAAATGCATAATTTCTGCAACTTAATGTACGAATTTTCTATTGATAAATTGTAAATCTAGAACTGGTTTGAGGTACCGCAGCTATTAATTATCGCATAGGGGCGCTTAAGGTAGACACACACACATTATGGTGGTGATATAAAGGGTATCTGCATGAGGGCTCGAATATACCTTAAGCCAGTCCTTTAGAAATCACATTGACGCGTACGGATACCTACGTGACCTTACAAGCGATTGCAAATTAAACTTGCCGCTCAAGGCCAATGTGGGAGTCACCTGTGCACACTGTTTCTCAAACATAGATACGCATGTTCGAGTATCAAATTTACGAAGCAGTTCAGTCTGGGAAATGGTCTCGAGTATTCAAATAAATTAGCATTTACCATGATATTCCTGTTTACTACCGAAAGGGTTGAAGAAATATTTTAACGTTGCCAAGGACGATCCTTTAGAACTGAAGAAAAATATAGTTCCTTTTTTTCAAGCTATAAGATGATAAATATTTTGATTCATTGCTCCACCTATTTTAAGATAGGATTAAAATGAAATTTTTCGCAATACTACATTCCATTTAATACTTTGACTGCCACACCACCCAAATATGGGTGACATACATTGCAAAGAGGCTGGAGTATTTAAATACCGTTACAAAATTTTTCCGTCAAATTAATACCGCAATATATTTCGAAACAAATCCAACAGCATATATTAACTAAATGCATATATTTTCGACGATTTATGACACAAAACAAAATAAAGTGTGTCTGCCTTCGTGCGGCCTTTTTCACTGTGGCAGTCAACGTGTTAGAAAAACTAACAAATGATTGATAATTGACCTTTCGGTTTATAACAAACCAATTTCGAACGCATAAACTGTCATTCGACGCATCTTCTTCCACAATAGCAAAAAAGCCATCCGAAAATTTCTAAACTAGTCCTGCCTTCAAAAATGACAAAATCTCGTTCCAAAAGGACCAAAAGACGCTCCAAAAGCACTTCCACCCGCCCCCTCCCCGCCGCGAAAAGAACCACAATCCTCCAAACACAATTTACTAAATAACAAAGATCGTATTCGACGGCAAGCCAAACAAATCCGTAAGAACATTCGAGTCTCGTCATAGAGTCGCAAGAAGAAGAAGCCAAAAGTGCAAAGTCCATCGTTCGGTATAAAAAAAATAGGAACGTAACCCCCCCCTGCTTCGAATCTCCACACACGACCCGTTCCCGAAGGGTACCAAACACATTTAAAACCGTACCCAACCCCACATTATTCCCCTGTACAAACAACCCCCCCCCCCCCAAAAAAAAAAGACAGACCCAAAAAAACAGATTTACATATTCCCCTGAAAAACCCTCGAGAAAGTAGCTGTAGAAGAAGGCTGAGGCTGGTGTGTTGTGCCGGTGTGGTAGCAGGTGAAAGGCAGGCGCAACTTCCGCCCCCGGAGAATTGCACGATCAGGGAAGAGAGTCGGACAACGGTCAGGGTGAGCTGCGCGGAGAGCGAGTACATCGACCCGCGCACTGCCACCTATGTGCTGCAGGTCTACGACGCGGGCACCAGACGTCTGCTGGCGTCCACGACTAGCATGACGCCTAGCATGCTCGAGATCACGGACCTGCCCGCGGAGAGGAGTTACTCCGGGCTGGTGCTGTCCCTGTGGATCATGACGGAGCACGCGATGAGCGACACCACCGTACTCCACAGCCCGCACTATGTACAGGAGGGTAAGACACCGGAGCATCAACGATACCCAGGTAGGGGCCCGCTAGTGTTCGATTTCGAGTCATCGTGCGCCAATCGCGAGAACCATCACGAAATTCGTCCCTCCCCCCAAAATCTACGGAGACCACATCATTGTCCGGTTGTTGTTGATCGTTAAACGTTCGTTCAAGATAGATGCACGGCCCGGGTATACTGGGTGTTCGCGATAATTTGTACCATCGTTTTTTTTCGTAAACGGTAAACGTTAGGAAAAAACCCGAAGAGGAGGCGATTGTAGTATATTTTACTAGTAATGTGATAGCGTATCTAAAGTTTTTGTATTTTTAATATTTTTCTAGAAATAAAGGTGATCTTAATTTTTTTAATGGAATGCTACATATTTTTTTACGTTATATGAAAGCAGGCATTAAGACGAGTTCAACTATGTAGTATGCTATGGTCTTCAGGGTCATACAAGGGCAGAAATAAATTCTCAGAAATGCATTACTTATGGAAGTCTCATTGAACAAGAGATATAATCTTATTAATACAACTAAATACAATATTACGAAATGTTAAATTTATTTCTTTTATTTCTGCCCTTGTATAACCCTGAAGACCATAGTGTACTACATGATTGAACTCGCTTTAATGCCCGTTTTCATATGATGTAAAAAAATATGTAGCATTCCATTTAAAAAAATTAAGGTCACCCATATTTCTAGAAAAATATTGAAAATACAAAAACTTTAGATACGCTATCATATTATTAGTAAAATATACTACAACTCTCTTCGGTTTTTTTATAGTGTTTACTGTTTACGAAAAAAATGATGGTACATATTATCGCGAACACCCTATAGAGTCCGGTGAAAAGGATAAATTCGGTGAGCGTGAGAATCCCCTTCTTTCTTTTACTCGGGGACGATCCTCTTGGGAGCAATTCGAGACGTGTGGACCTTGAAGCTTGTTCGGAGCCCAATGTAGTCCCTGTTGATCTCATTGTCCGACGTGTCTTTACCCTGTCAGTCTTTTAAATGATGATCGTGGTAACGACTGTTATAGGCAGACTGATGATTCTGATATTCTTGCACTTGGAACGATGTTTTTTTCGAGTACTGAGAAATCGTTGGGCTGAATAAATCCCTCTATCTTCGAGTAGATAAATGTAAAGGGATCTTGCTAACTCTTAGAGGGTATAATCGATTTGTTGTACACTCGATTCAGTTTGTATAGTTAATTGCTCATTAACCAGAGGATTTAAAATGTGGACTTTGCCTAGGGTCTTCTCTTACACTAATATCGAAAATCTTGAAGACAGACATGGGACCTAGAAGGCGCCTAACTGGACCCAAGACGTTAAAATATATCAACTAATCTAACCCAATGAAGACCATAGCCCAATCTCTGATCGAATATACCCTCTAACTATTAACATCTCCCTTCTCAATTTTCTCTGATTCAAAGTACCTGCGGACCGTCAACCAGTAGACAGTTTGATCAATTACGATCCCTGATCAATCGCTGTTCGCTAATTATATTCATCAGTAACTCGCCACTGACCCTAGCATAGAAACCCGAGGTTTAATTAGTATCACAATAATCGTGATTTGAACTATATCCCTGCAGAAATCACAGGCTTCTGCGTCTTTAACGTGAAAGAACCATATACACCATCAAAATTGAGTGCAAAGTAGCGAATCGTGTTGTGGCGCGACATTTTCGAAAAACAATGAATCGGTTGCAGCATATCGAAAGCTGTACCGGCTCTGGAATTCTGAAGCAATAGATTCCCGATGGATGCAGCTTGCTCCCGGGGCTTTGAATCTGTTTCAAAACTGCGCTACGGAACTAACTATTCGATTTCGGGTTAATGGGCTCCGTTGAACTAATCGCAAATTGAAATCCGATCGGAATTACGTTCGAACTAGTTAGTGCCTCCTGGTTCTAGTCGCGCGACCCCCTGGTTGTCCCGTGACCCGAAATTTTCAATTGTTCGGATGTGCGTTTTAAATTTGCCAAAAATCGAGGCTCAAGAAACCCGATTCCTAACGAACCATCAGCCGTTCGCTGATGGAATCATATTCGAACGTATGTTTAACCCTTTCGCGGTTAATAAGATTGTAGCTTTTTTTTCTGTTAACGGGGGGTATATATACTATAGGTGTGCGATTTTAGAACCTAAATGGTATAAAACGAACTGTAAACCAGTGAGTAAAAACGACTCCTAAAAAGTATTTTTCAGATGGCCTAAAAACCTAGTGTCGCGCTGGGATAAATGCATACAATTGAATGGAAATTATATTGAAAAATTACAATATAATGTAGACGAAAATTAGAAAAATAAAAGATTTATAACACAGTTCCCAGAACTTTGGAAATACCGTACGGCCAGTTCGGAGATCCTTTGCATTTCTATCATACATTCAAACGTATCGAATTCAGTGAAATAAAAATTATCGAAACAGTTAATAAAGTTCCTATGTTATTCTTAACTTTCGTTTAAAATTCCTCGAAGCTGGATCTCGACAAATATTTATCAAAACAGCAATTCGCATCATACCTAAGTGCATTTTGCATCCATCCCCCTGATAGTGCATTTAACCATGAAAGGGTTGAGCGTTCGCCACCTGGCACCAGTTTTGCTAGGTTTGAATCTCCAGGTCGGTATTATGCAAAACAAGCCACGACGATCTTGGATCAGTCCCCACTATCGAAATGTCAAATTATACTGTCGAACGTGCACCTGATACCACGATCCAGAATTCACGATGACCGGGCATAATCTAGACTTAATGCGGGATCATGTAGAGATCAATTGGACCGGGCCGGTTTAATCGTTAAATCATCGGATCATCCCTGGGAGGGAAGGGGGTGAATCGGGCTGAAAACCTGATCGAAAATTAACGTTCACCAATAGCGGAATTAACCACGGGCGAATTGGGAACGGCGTAAACACGGGATCGACATATGGAACAGAACGCTCGGGGATCGTTGGTACCATCCCCGTCGAAATACTAGATCCCCAGGATCCCTGATATACTGTGATCTAAAACTAATCCGGAGGCAAGTAGCGGCCTGAATAGAATTCAATTTTCCCCGCTAAACCGTCGGATCATCTTATCGGATCTATCTATCAACATATCCGGGGACACAGAATCCCACGGTTAATCCACCAGCTGATCGTACGGTGTCTCGATCGATGCTGGATTATTCTTGCCTTGTGGTGAATCCGCAAACTGGATCTATAATATAATAGACCATTGGTAAAACAGTTTGAACTAGAATATACTACAACTGCCTCCTCTTCGGTGTTTTTCTAATGTTTACCGTTTACGAAAAAAACGATGGTACAAATTATCGCGAACACCCTGTATATAATACTAACTATAAATTAATACTTTAGTGTACCAGTAGGTACACCTAATATCCATCAATTTATTATACAATTCTTGACGTTTCACGTGACAGTTTCTTAAGCAACAATTCTTCCTTCAAACTTCACCTATCCAATTCACCGTCCAATCATACATAAGTCCCGTAAACGTCACCGATTTCCAGGAGTACAATCTCCCCCAAGCGTCAAGACGATATGTCCCCCAATTTTACCGGTCTTGCTGGTAAGAAACTCCACGGAATCAATTATTTCCGGGGCGGCGAATTCGTCAATACGTGGGAACCGTCCGAAAAACACTTAGCTCGGACATCCCCCCATCGCGGTGGACTCCTGTCCAGCGTACGTTCAATGTAATCCCCGAGGATTAAACGATCAGCTCGGTTCGGCATCGGGAACGTCGGCCTGGCCCTGATTAAATTTGTAGAGGGACATTACCCACCTACCCCATACCCCTCCTCTCTCTCTCTCGGCTCGCGTAACGTGTCGGCGGTTATTAAACGTCCGTCGCCGCGTTAACGGTTAAAGTGAACCATAAACGGGCCACACAACCTGATTACAAAACGTCTTTCAGCTAACCGCCGCGAATATGCAAATGGACAGCCCCTCCGCGAATTCGCGGCGAAAGGTCCCCGCGTATACATTCTGTAAACGGTTTCTGGGTACATAGAGAGACACAGGGAGAGGGAAATAGAGAGATGGAGAGTTCAGGGAATTGGGGGATACGTGTGTTCCATGGGACACCACCAAGACAACCACTTGCACGTGCAAACCTGCCTGGAGGACGTTCAACCGAAATTGGTCTGCGGCTGAACCCGATCTTCCTACCGGTGTCCTTAGAGAAACAGAGAGACAAGAGCTCGATAAACGTGCTCCTCGAAACACGGAATTGTCTACGTATGTCGTGGTACCCCGTCCGTAAATCCTGGACTTGATTAGTCTTATAAATAAATGAACGCTGTGATTGGAAACCGATTAAACCGGGCTGACTGTATAAAGCAATTCGGGACGGTAAGTCGACCACGTTGAACGGAGGATTTGTTCGTGTTCCTGATCGTTTGATTAGTGGTTAGACCGTGTTGAATGCGTAGTCTCGAGTGTCTGGTAGGTTAATAGCTAAGACATGTTTTGGTTAACAGGATTCGTCAAATTTGGACTTTAACATTAGAACTACCAGCGTTGAGAGTATATTAATTTAAATTGTATAATATACCTGTATCTGTAATATATGTATATGGGGAATAACTAGTAGCATCCATTTAACTTTTGTCTGGAATATTTTTTAATACTGTCAATAGTTTTGGAGATCTTCGAGTAGGTCGATTTAAATGGGACACCCTGTATATGTATAGATATGTTGTGTCTTGTTATTTTGAAGTAAAAAATATCGATATTAAACCGACCAGTTTTATTCACCTTTTTTCTTTTTTGTTTACTTTTCGAGGGAATACCTGAATTTCTCAACGAAAAAATCGAGATCGATTTTACATTAATTAAGTTTGATATTAACCGATGATAGAATTTGAAGCACTTTTGAAATGAATGTTGCAACAGTGCAACACTGAGCGTTAAAGGGTTAACACTAGAACAACCGATTGATAAACGTATATCTGTTTCTATCGGTTCAATAAACATGACAAGCTTCTGAAAATATTCAAA